TTAGGCAGGAAACCCTATACAGTTCCAGACAAATGGTTATCCAACATCATCTTAAAAACTTCAAGTGTTGGAGCATTCACAACTTCTGGAGACAAGCTATTCCACTGATTAATTGTTCTCCTTAGTTCTAAGTTGCTTCTCTCCTTGATTAGTTTCCACCCATTGCTACTTGTCCTATCCTCAGGTCCTTTGGAGAATAGCTTGACTCCCTCTTCTTTGTGGCAACCCCTGAGATATTGGAACAGTGCTACCATGTCTCCCCTAGTCCTTCTTTTCATTAAACTAGACATACCCTGTTCCTGCAACCGTTCTTCATATGTTTTAGTCTCCAGTCCCCTAATCATCTTTGTTGCTCTTCTCTGCACTCTTTGCACCTTGAAATAAAACAGGTGGAAATATTCACACAAGTGGTCCCCTCCCTCTGGGCTATAGTATTCTCCCCTCCAAATTTAATCTGCCCCCATCCTGATGATCTTTCAGGACGTGACAAAAATAATCCTCTTCAAGAGACCTTTCCAACTTGTACACCTTTATTTATAGATTTTAAAAGAAACAGAATCAGAATAGAGCTGGAAGGGACCTTGGAGGTCTTCTAATCCACCCCCTCCCCCTGCTCAAATAGGTGATCCTATACCATTTCAGACTGGTGGCTGTCCAGTCTTTTCTTAAAAACCTCCATGCAGCACCCACAACTTCTGAATGCAAACTGTTTCAATAGTGAATTGTCCTCACTGTTAGGAAGATTCTCCTTAATTCCAGATTGCTTCTCTCCTTAATCAGTTTCCATCCATTGTTTCCTGTTTTGCCCTCTGGTACTTGGGAGAATATTTCACCCCCTCCTCTTTGTGGCAACCTCTCAAATACTGCAATACTGCTATCATGTCACTCTTTAGTCCTTCTTTTCTCTAGACTAGCCAAACCCAAATCCTGCAACTGTTCTTCATATGTTTTAGTCTCCAGGCTTTTAATTATCTTCTTTGCTCTTCTTTGCACTTTTTCCAGTTAGATTGTTTTTAAAAAAAAATATATTTATTAATGTTACAGTTCTTTTTATACGTTTATTACGTATTTTTTTTATTTTATTTTAAGCCACCCAGAATCGGAAGAAAAGGCTGTTGTATAAAATTGGGCCTAGAAAAATAATTCATTGGGGTTATTTAACTTGCAGGACTTTACACAACTTGGGTAAACTTGTAGTGATTTCAGAACAAGGCACCAAGTTGAGAAAATTTTGATCAGGATTGAGAGTCACTTAGGATGTGGGACATGGTTTGGGTGAGCTTTTAAGAAGAGATTGGACAGCCCTTTTGTCTGGAATTGTATAATTATAATTGTATAATTGTGCTTGAGCAGGGGGCTGGACTAGAAGACCTCCAAGGTCCCTTCCAATTCTTTTATTCTATTAAATCTATCGTGAGAATAATTCAGGTGAGATCTAGAATGGGCCAAGGTAAAACATCTGTAAGAAATGTGGAAATTCATCTGGAGGGTTTATATTTTGCTTCCCCACTCTCCTCCACGCCTTATAATAACTCTTAAGATTCAGCCTGCTCTGTGTGTCCTGCAGAAAAGACAAGTTGAGAAAATTTTGATCAGGGTTGAGAGGCACTTAGGATGTGGGACATGGTTTGGGTGAGCCTCATATGCTCAACCACAACTTCCTGTTAACCTTTTTCTTTTTGAGAAATGAGACTCACAATAAACGAGGTGTGAGAGTTAAAAATAGTAAGTTATTAAATTAAATAGCAATTCTGGACTGAATGGACACATTTACCTTCTTTTCATAAATACCCGAAGGAAATTATTACAGCAAAGAAGAAACTGGGAGGTCCTTGGTGGTCTCTGAACTTGGTTGTTTTCTTACAGATTTTTCCATACCAAACTGGGTAACATCATCAGTGATCCAACTCAAGGAAGTTGGATTTGCTCTCTTTTTATATACAAATGATTTGTCCTGTCGGTGTCATTTAGAGTGTTCTTGGTAGTTCCTTGTTTGGGCTGTTGTTTACTGTTTGTTTGTCTGAGTTAGTAGTTACTTGATTGGAGTATTTATTACTATTTGTTTGTTGGTACTAATACTCTTGGTGTTAATCTGTCCTTATCTGGGTGTTGATGGTCGGTGGGAAAATGTTTTCGTCTTCTTGTTTCCTATTTTGTTTTCTGACAGTGCAAACCACTAATATATAAAAAGAGAGCAACTCCCCACTTCCTTCTAGCATTGATGATACTACCTAGTTTGGTAATGAAATGTGGTCGGTAAGAAAACAACCAAGCGGAGAGAGCACAAGGAGCCCAGAGTTCAACCTTGAGCTTCAACTTTTCTCTTCTAAAGAAGAAACTCTAATTTGACTGGCTTGTATGTTTTGCTGATAAAAGAAATTGATGTACCAACTTTCTAATTCCTTGAAAAAGGAGAAGAAATAGGAACGCAGTTAAGGAAAATGAATCAGAGGCTAAACAGCATATACATTGCATCAAACATTACTTCCTTAATCAGCTTTTCTTGAACAAGCTGCAGTCAGATGGGTGTCTGTGTGGCAGACTAAGATGTAAAATATGTCAGAGTGCGCATAGCGTGACTACTATTTTGAGTCAACCCAGGAGTAAAATACAGTACACAGAGGTTTTGTCTTTCAAACAGTGGTTTATATACAAGACTTATATATACATACATACATGTGTTAGGCAAATACCAGGCAATCAATCAATCTTCAACTCTACATGGGGAACCACAATGGAGATAGAATGCAAGGAGGGAGATATAGGAGGAGGAGGAGGAGGAGGAGGAGGAGAAGGAGGAGGAGGACGGGAGGTAGGGAGGGAGAAAGAGAGAGAGGGAGAGAGGGAGGGGGAGAGAGAGAGAGAGAGAGAGAGAGAGACAGACGGCCTCACATGGCTTCCCTTATATATACAGATTCTTAAATTTGGATTTGGATTTTATTCAATTTGTAGGCCACCCTATTCCCCGAAGGGACTCAGGGCGGCTGAACAAAGCCAAGGGAGGGGAAATTACAAAAAATAAGACAAAGACAATCAGACAATACAAACAGTTTAAAAGCACAACAGACACAGCAGATTCGAGTAGGGGGGGGGAACTCAACCCCAGGCTTGCTGGGACAGCCAGGTCCTCATGGCTGTCCGGAAGGCCTGAAGGGTGGAGAGGGTCTGAATCTCCACGGGGAGCTCGTTCCAAAGGGCCGGGGCAGCCACAGAGAAGGCCCTCTTCCGAGT